ATAATTAAAGTCACTAAGTTTAGCTGCTGCCCTTGCTTCAGAGAGGGAAGGGCCAACTGTCTGCATGATTCCTGCAGAGCCTCGGGCTCCTCGACAGCTCTCGGGTGGGGGCAGACACGGGGAGGACCCGGCAGAGACCATGATTCCTCCACAGGCTCCATGCCACCCCCAGCCACCCAAACCTCACTTGGCCCTTCCTGTGGGTGACTGCACCCACACTGCCCGTGGGACGGCTCTCCTGGGCTTCCCACCACATTGCGTCTGATTTTCCACCTTTCTTTTGAGATGTGGCATTCAGAACCGGACACGGTATTTTAGCTAAAATCTTACCAGCATCGTTGAAAGGAGAAAACAGTCCAAATTTCCAAGTAAAACTTGACATTTATGCAGAATTGCTTGTTCCTGTTCAGTACGTGGTCCTCCGGACCATGGCAAACAGCTCTGCTGTCTGCCATCTCATTGCTCACCCAGCATTGATGTATTTGATTTTTTTTCTGCTAAAGCCTTAATTTTGTCTAACTGACGGGCTTTGACTGGACCATTTCCAACTTTTCAAGATCATTTTAGCCCTGAACCTGTCAAATGCAACAACTGAAGCTCCTTCCAGCTCAATGCTATCCACAAACATCTTCTGTTCTTCATGTTGTCTTGTAGAATCACCATTGAAGCAACTAATTAAAACAGTAATTGGGGCGTGCCTGGGACCAATCCCACCTGAAAGCTGTGATAGCAAACATAAGCCCTTTTTTTTTTTTTTTTTTGTGGCTTTTCCACTACCATCTTCACCTGATGCAAATTCTTTTTTTTTTTTTTTTCATGTTTTCTTCATGAAGCCCAGAAGAGAGTCCACCTCCTGGCTACAGCACATAAACATCCTCTGCTGCCTTTCCCTGCCGGCTGCCCTTCACGCTGTTGACCATATCTGTTCTGACATCTCGTCTCTGTTCATTTTCTTCCCGTGTGAGCCCAGGTTAAATTCACAGTGCGTCTCTGAACTCCTCTCCACCCACAGAGACCACCAGGTCCACAACACCACTTCCACCTCCATCTCTGCACCCATTTCTGTGGTTCTTTTCTCAACACCTGAGGACAACCCCCCCACCCTGGTGATAATTAAGACCCAGAACCTGATTGTTGTGTCGGATTTGTTTCCCCAGGGGCACGGAGAGATGCCAGGAGCCTGTGGGAGGAGGGGGTCACGTTAGGTTGCTCCTGCTCAAAGCCACAAGCCAAATGGCAGAGCTGCCTCCACCCTTCAGTGTGTGTGGTGTTCCTGCCCACTCGTTTGGGCTGTAAGAAGATGTCAAAGTCTGCAGGAAACCTCCTGACAAGCTTTCTCAGCCAGATACAGGGAAGTGGTGGAAGTTCTGGAGTTATGTAAATATTTTTCTTATACGGTTAAACACAACCACTTTATGCTTCCTCAGCACCGCCATAAAAAGCACATTTTAAATAAACACGGTTTGCAATGGACGTTTTGATTTTGCATGCTTCACACCTTCCTTCATTCATCAGAATATATTCTGGCCGGGAGTACTACAGGCGAGACCCCCCAGCTCCGGTGGTCACACCCGGAAAAACCCATCACATTTTTTCCAAACCCTTTGATTCACAGTTGCTTTTAGACTCTTAACTTCTTGCTCCCTGGGTTTTTTTCTCATCCCACCTGGTTCACCGCTGCCATCCCCGGCTGCAGGGATGCCCCCGCACCGCTCGCTTCAGCATCCCCGCGCCTCGGCCGCCGGCTCCTCCTGATGGCCTTGACATTAACGGAGATGATTAAATTACAGGCAGTAAATTGGTTACTTGAGGAAATAGACTTTTTTTTCTTTTTCTTTTTTTTTTTTCCCCATTAAGGAGACATTCACAAACCGCCACAGATTGCTGAAAGTCTATTTATTTTCAGTGAGCAGCTGCAAAATAACTCGCAAACAAATTTCGGCCCCGCGTAGGTTTGGAGGCTGCTCAGCGCCGCGGCGCTCAGCCGGGTTCGCAGCCATCCCGCGGTGCCGTGCGCGGCGCTGGCCACGCCGGCAAAGCTGGGCACGTATCATTAATATAGATGGTTTCATACTTGTTTAGTGAGCAATACGTTCTCCGGCTCACACGTGAGCGGGGCTGTTTGTGTGCAACGCAGCCGCATCCCAGCACGGCGAAGATAAACAGAGTTAGCGTAAATGTTCCCCAGGCACAACTAATGCGGGTTATGGACAGAGGAATAAATATTATGCTCAGCCCAAGCATGCTTTGCTAACCCCATGTTCCTCCTCTCTGACCGAATCCGGCCGAATCGGATGAAAAGAGAGCCGGCCGTCACTGCGACACCCGCTCGGGAGGGATGGGTCGGCTTTCCCAGCCCCTCTCCTGGAAAAAACGGGGATTTGCACCTTCGAAAGGACCCGAAATGAAGTCGTTCTGCACGTCACTGCGTGGCAGGGCTCCGAAAAGGGCTGGCGTTGGGAAACCTCGGCGATAGAGTATGCTGCAGGTCTGCAGGAGACTTCGAATTAAAACCTAAATAGCTTTAATAAATCTGAGGAGTTGGTTTCAATTAAAAAGAAGTTATCACAACAGCCCTTATTTTCTTATTAGGAGAGCCCCTATTAAAAGATTAAAAAATACTGAGCATCGTAGGGCCTCTTAAACACACTGTTTAGAATATTTCTGTTTAAAAATATTTCTGTTTAAATACTGCTGTCTAAAACTGACATTATTAGTATTAGATGTCCGTGTCCAGACTGGGGACCGCAGGTTTGAGAAGCCCCGAGACCTTCCCGGGAGGATCCCCCCCCCAACCATGGAAAACCCACTCGGGTTTGCAGAAAATGCTTTCATTCCCCTGAACCACAAGGAAGAAAAATCACTTCAATATTCCTTGATTTGCTAATACTTGTCATCTCCTGCAGCCCAGACCGAACCCAAGAGAGCTGCCAAGAACAAATAACTACCGTTTCCATAGATTAGGAGATGAATCATTCACGTTATTTTTAGCAGGTCATTAAGGGCTGGCAGCAAAATTTGCAAACTGACTTGTGGGGCTTTTGATTCGTGTTAGCATAACCTTTTAAAGAAAACATAAACTGGGATTTAGAACAAAGGAAATTGAAGGACTGGGAATAATATCTCTAAGCTTTAAAATGACAGTGAGAGATTAAAATAAATAGACTCCATGTGAGTCGCCTACTCACTCACAGCTCTCCCATTTAAACCTCGTGTCGCTCGACAAACACAAGTGAGAGGTTTTATAGAAAAGACGCAAAGATGAGGATCTCATTCTGCCTCCCGCTATTGATGTGCCCGGGGTGGGGATGCTGCAGCCGCCGGGAAAAGCCGTCTCCTGCCGGGCACCCCGAGCAGACAGAGCGGGACTTTCCCCCCCAGCTCTGGAGCACGCGTGGGACGAAGAGCTTTTCACCCATCGGTGGAGCAAAGCTTCCTAAGGCGTAAGGAAGGAATAAGCTACGTATTAAATATTCATCTTTTAACAGCCAATTCCCTTTTACTGTGCTATCGGCAGTACGATGAGCGCCGGTCTCAGGAGGAAACCCAGGGAATATCCCGTGAATGACCTGAAAACTAAACACAACGGGAATGACCCCAAAGAATCGCCCGCATGTGCAGGGCGAGCCGGACACCTTGCGGCTGGCGGCTCTTCATGGCACCCACCCAACCCCGGCGGCGCAGCCGGCACATCCCCACGGTGGATCCCCGCCGGAGCCACGGTCCTCTGGAGCGAGTCTGAGCCCGGATTCCCACAGCCCTTCCCCAATGCGGAGGGAGTTTTGGCAAAGGGGGTCCCGGAGGTGGCTTTGGTGGGGTGCCCGCCACCCCCTTCCCTGTATTTCACTGGAAAACGTGCTTCACCCGTGGCGTTGGCGGCGCGTTTCTCGCGCCGGTGTTCGCCCACTGTGCCAACTGCAGGTTGAGGGACTGAAGCACCACCTCCCGCAGGGCGGCCCCGTCCCTCGGACACACGGAGCCCCACAGAGCCGCTCCCCGGAGCCAATGAGCCGAGGAGGCTCCCCAGGCTGCCCCACTCCTTGTTAGAATCATAGAATGGTTAGAGTTGGAACGGATCTTGAAGATTGTCCAGTTCCAACCCCCCTGCCCTGGGCAGGGACACCTCCCACCAGCCCAGGTTGCCCAAGGCCACCTCCAGCCTGGCCTTGAACACCTCCAGGGATGGGGCCTCAACAACCTCTCTGGGCAACCTGTGCCAGTGCCTCACCACCCTCACAGGGAAAAACTTCT